TGTACAAAATCATTAATTACAGACCTACACACAAAGTTGCAATGTCATCTACTTAGAAACACGTGTATATTCGATTAGGGTGACATCTTCAAATATTAAAATACTCTGTACGATGCTGACATCTAGTGGTAGTTGGATATCACTACATTGATACAAATATATAACATTTATCGTGTATACATATTCAATAACTGTTTAACATTAAACACCGTTGGAATGTAATCATATGATATTGTTTACACGTGTATTGCGATTAAGCATTGAAATTGCAAACCGCAATTGAGTAAATTAGCATTTGAGGCTTTTTGAACACCGCATCAATGAGAATTTAAATCTACCTCTTTAAGAAAACTTTAAGACAACTATGTTGTTGTTTTTTTGAAAATTACATGCAGAATTTAAAAAAAAAACGTCAAATAGAATAAATTCTGGTCTTGAATAAATATGCAGATTTCCTAAAATCTTTTTTTAAATACCTTTCCTATATTTCAATACTATTTAGCGATTCCTCAATTAAAACAAAAATACAGAGTGAACCAAGTAACTTGGGAAGATCACATGAATTACATGAGTTTAATTGATTTATATTGGTCTAATTAAATACAATGGTAAATAAGACAGCTATAATTAAGTAGGCAAAGTCTGTATTTAGTCCAACAAACAAGTTTACGCCTACAGGGGTGATATTCACATCATTGTATTCAAATATGTCCTAATAGAGTGTTTAAAATGGCAGCCATTTTGCTTTGTTTTTACGTGGTCTCTTAATAGCTTTGGCCGGAATACCCGGTACTTTGTACGATGTGGCGCTTCTTTTGTAAATGAACCTAGGTGTATTATCGGTATAGCTAGGCATCCCTATTGCATCATCATCATCACTGGTTGATAGTCCCGCGTCATCATTTTGTTTACTCGAGGTCCCTTCCTTAAAGTCGCTATCGGATGGGGCATCCAATTTATTTTCCGAGGAAAACGTAGATGCATCATTACTCCCGGAATCAACTTGCTTCGTTTGACTAGGTTTACGTGTACCTATTCCACCATCCATTTTGTCAGTATTAGTTGGCGACTGATCTATGGTTTTGTTATTACCCTCCTCAGTTTTAGGTGTGGAATTTTCGAGTCTGATATATTTATCGTAAGGTATCAAAACAGATTTGATCATAGCTTCAATTTTTGGATAAAATTATGAACGGATTTAATCAATAGACCCAAAACTGATGTATTACGTTTGATCAAGTCCTTTCTAAACTTCTTGCTTTTTGATTTGGTCGCGATGTGTTGTAAAACTCTTTTATGTCGTTTCAATTTTTGTTTATAAAAATTCGCGATAGGGAGACTACCGTGAAGTACGTTAAGAGCTATTTCACCTAGAACTCGAAGTTGCGTTTCAGTAATTGTATTCAATAAAACTTTCATTTGCTGCAAAGTACTAGTCAAAAGGAATTTTAGGAAGTTTTTATTCCTTTTAATAAGTGCTGACATCGTGACATGTCTTTTATATGTTGTCCGCTAACCGTCTGGATCTATACTGATGCGTTCAATTAACTTTTGGGTTTATAAATGATAGGGTCTTCATTCGGAAATATACGTGTGCGTAATCTATATTCATCAACGCCATCTGGCGACATATCCACAACTATGTAACCGTACCTTTCCGAAGTGGCGTCCAAATAGCTGTCCATGAAATATTTCGTTTTATCCGGATATATCTGACCAATCAAACACTTTAGTTGTCTTTTATCACGATTTGCCTTGAAAATGATGAAATACTGCGTATTTAATGAAATATTTCTAGCGCTAGGACCCTGACACAAGGCGTTTTGTGTTAGAAAAAGGACATTCATATTTCTATGATGACATAATTGCGTGAATATTTTGGCGGCCTCTCTACTTTGACATACGCTAGCCATTAAATCATCTAGAACTAGAAATGTTGGTATCGATATATCTTTCGTAAAATTTAAGATTTCTTCCTCGTCGACTAGTCCTTCGTGAAATATGATTTCATCTTTAAATTGTAGCTCCATATCGAGGTACTGGGATTGCCAAGTTGCGTAACAAAACAATATTTTGGAAGGTGAATTCGAACTATTTTGAAACAAGGCATCTCTATGTTTTAGAATTTTGAAACACATGTTAGTTTTCCCCGATTGAGACGCTCCTATCATGGCGATAGAGGTAGGCGAATTAAAGGGCACCAGGCTATGTGTCATGGCTTCGACGTTTGACCTTACAATGATAAATACTTGTTTTGCAAAGTCTTTTATTTAAACAATCGGTCCATTGATGATTTTTAATAAGTTAGTACCAAAGAACAAATATAATTTTTTACCTAATCCATTTTATTTCGATACACAATAGTATAACATACATAGAATATAAACAATTATATCTAATTAACTTTCTAAAGCCTGAATATTCGGTTTAACGCAGGTTTGGCATTCTACATAAGTCACTGCGGATTTGGTAGAAAAGTGAGTCTTGAAATAATCTATGGTGATTAAATCGTTGTAATAAGTATCCTCGATATTATAGTCATTCAATATACCCAGTAAGCTTTCATTTCTACGAATATAACGATCCATTACAACTAATGCATATTGGCCACAGATTGTACTTTCATCATCTTGAAGTCTCAAGTTATTGTATATAAATGTGTCCGAATTATTTCGTATGAATTCAAATAGACCATATTTTCGGGGATGACCACCCAAACTGTCAAAATACATACAAGTTTTCTGACCCAACGTGTCAATCTTGAATACGAGTAAGACCCAATGTAATCCGGGGTGATCGTGCTTGGCCGTATTGACGATATAAACGGCTAATTTACTCGGAGAAAACCGCGGTAATTCGTCTTTGGCGCAGACCCTACGGTAGGCTGTTTTTAAATAAGATGTAGATTCTAATATATGCCTTAATTGGAGAGAGTTCATTATGTTATGACGTTCCTAGCCTCGTCTATCTGAATAACTTTGGGAAACTCCGCCAATATCAGGATGTTGATCGCTTCTTGCAGAGGTTTTTGAAAATGACCATTGATGGATAAATTACCCCTTCTTTCGATCGAATTAACTTGCGTACTGCCGATGTTATTGACGTCAAATCTTAAAATTGTAGTTCCGTTGGCGAATTCGTCTCTGGATATGCTCGCGTTTCGTTTTTGGTCATTAAACTGGGGAAATAAGTTGTTGTAACACGTTATATACTTGTTCAGCAAACCACCTGTTCTGTAATCTAGTGTTACGGGATTGGTCACGCTTAGTCCATCGACTAACACGTCTAGATAATCTAAGTTGAAATGTTGAAAGTTGAAAGGATTCAAATCGTACACGCCCATTTGAGATCGAGCCGTGACCATGACTAGGTATATCGTTTGAGGCACCCTACCTAGAAATAAATTATCGATTTGAAAATTGCGGTTTCCGGTGGCCACACTTAAACTTTTCATTTCTCTGCCGATGTACGAATATTGAGCCAGATTCGTCTTTAACGTTTGGGCGTGACCTTCCAATACACCGGGTGTCGGCTCAATTTTGGCAATTCTTAGAAATGCGTCGGTAATCTTAACCTTATAAGCTACGGCGTTATCATGAGCCGTTAGGTTAAAGGCAGCCGGGGATGGTGTTAGTTTGACTTGAATATCAATGTTATTCAACAAATATTTTTCAATCTTAAAGATGTCAGCGTGCAATGGACCCGCCATTTCAACCTCCAAACTCTCGATCGTGTGCGCCATTCTCCTCAGAAATCCATTATTTTTGGAGTCAAACCCGTTGTGGTCGTTACCTAGACTGGCTTCATCCTTAAAATACATTTGGGATGATAAGTAACCTTGCATATCTGCCGCTGATGTGTTTAGTACTGTTTGAATATAACTTGTGTATGGGTAATAAGGTCCCGATGTTGACATTGATTTTTGCTGCATTTGAACATCCACTTGCGAGAATAATGAATGTAACCAAAGATTAGCGCAAGTAACTTTGGGTGCAGATGCCGCCGGGTCGTTTGGATCTATAGGCAATGGACTCCCATCGGGCATGGTTATTTTTGCCTTGACGAATAACACTGTTTTACTCAAATCTAAGTAGTGATCTCCGTTATTTGTTATATCGAAGGTTAATGGATTACCATCTGATAAATTGATCGGTCTAAAATTGACGTATTTCAACTGTTTCGTGCTGACATCCGTGTCGCGGGATTCGAAAATCATAAACTGCTCGTTCACAACCTCGCTAGAACTGTCCATAATGTTATCCATTTTTATTTATTTGTTTTTGTTTTATCTGTTTTTCCCTTTTTATCAAATATGGTACTTATACCGAGCGTATTATTTTCACGTTTATCACGTTTTTTCTTT